TAAGATATTGTTATAAGAAATTTGGAATCATTAGGTGAAGTGAAGGAAAAATGCGTGCATCTATGTTTACCTAGCAAAATGATGTACAACTGTAGGTATTTCATTGCAAATATTTATATTAACTGTGACAGGAATTTTAGAGTAAAATGTTTAAATGTATGTAGACTTTTTTTCCTTTTCTCATAGATCACAAACAGCTACTCGATTTTGGTTTCCAGATTGGTGTTTGATTTATGAATAGAATCAAGCTTGTGATGGAAGAGTTGTATCTGGCGATCAACAAGCCGTGCTTAGCATGTTTTGCCTCTTCTACTGCAAGGTCATTAGATTTAAGTTAGCTGAATGTTTGCTGCGGAAGGGTGAGGTGCTCACTAATTGTATTTGTAGGAGTGATATTCTGCTCTGAGTTAAATTATATGTTTTAATGTTATTAAATTAAATATGCTGTTTCATTTTGTCAAATGGAACCTTTTTAAATGCAAAGCCATTACCACTTAAAATATAATTTTGAAGAGAGCAGAAGTGAAATGTGTCCTCATCCAAGATGGATGCCTGTTTGAGAAGGAAAGAGGCTTTGGTTGCAAATTTAAACTTTCAGTTCTAAATTAACTGCATCTTTTAGCATTAGAAAAGGGGAACTATCCAAATGAAATTAAGGGACCATTACAGATTAAAATTAGAATTTTGATTTAGATACTTTTTATCTCTCTCTCACACATACTTTTACACATACTTCTCTCATACATATATTTAAGTACAATGATTTCAATGCAGAAGACACAGATAATTTCAATCACTACTGAGTTTAGGATGATGATGGCATAACTACGTAGTTACATACTCTTTATCTGGACTATACAACTCTTGAGAAGAACATCTTGATTATGAGTGCAATCTGTGCACTCATTTTAATCACATTTGTAACTTTTTTACATCTCATGGCAAATACTCTAGATGAAAGACGGAGGTGAATGGTTAACAAGTTAGCTAGACAAGATGGCACAGCACAATGTAGGAGTGTGTAGGGATACTTTAAAAAAAAGTGGGAGAGAAATAAAGATGTTATGGTCCTCAGAATGGTTTTGGTTTGCCTTTTCATGACTGACTAAAGTGTTTAAGGTTTAAGTAGGTGCTTACATGAGTAGAAGTATGCAAGATCATATGACAAGGATTAATTTGGAAATCATGCAGTATAGAGAGATTCATGTACTAATTTTATGGCAGAAAAGAGAATTAGACATATTAAATTGGAGAGTCAAGGGCCAAATTAAAATTAGAATTTCATTTTACATTATAATTTTGCTCTTACATACTTACTCCTCCTCCCAAAAAGTGCTCAGTTAATTACTAGATTTTCTGAACGTCAGAATAATTGTGATTATAATCATTCAGGATGTTTGAAGTCCTACTATATGTACAAAATGTAACCTTAATATTTATAACATTATTACAATACACTACAAAAATATTTAATTGTAGCAACTACAAAATATAAAAGTACACTTTTCCCTTTTGTAAGCACAAAGTATACAATTATTAAAAAGTAACTGGATAATTAATTTGGAAGCTTTTTTGTCCTTATAAAAGAATGCTTCAACTAGTAAAATAATCTCTAGTGATACATGAACACCATTCAGAACTTCAACGAAATACATAATTTCATCTGTTAGTAATGGTTTAAATATGAAGATAGTTAATACATTACTAGTAAAATAAAATCTAATCTGATACATAAATAAAATGAAATGATCTTTATTTAAAAGTTTCATGGGAAAATGGCAATCACAACTAAATGTAGTGCAAAAATTCCAGATACAAACGTTCAGAATCTTTCTAACAGATTTGATGACTACAATTCAAGTAACGAAAATTGCAAAGCACTTCATAAATAAGATAAGCTAATTTGAATAACTGGTTTTGAATTTAAGCTAGAATGCTCATTTTAAGCAAAAAAGAAGAAAAGTGACTTTATCACTCTGTATATCATTTCTACTACTGCCAATAAATGTTTATTTTACATATATGAAAAAATAAATTTAGAAACAGAATAAAATATAAATAACATAGTTGATAATTGGATTTATAATATTCATTCATCATAAAAAATAATTAACCCATCACTCTAGAAATAGCACACAATTTAATTTAAATTATCACTAATAAGTTTAATAAGTATTCATTTCAGAGACAGCAAATAATGCAATTCATACTGTTAAATAGATTTAGGATAAAATATTCATTTTAAGTAAAAGAAGTTTAACCAAATGAGTTAAGTCTTGAATTCCAAGCAGAATCATTGAACAAATCAGATCTCAAGAAGAAAACAATTCCTCCCCCCAAAAAAAATCATACAGTTCAATTAATCAAAAATGCAATTAAATGAAAACAGATGTCAAAGTTAGAATTTTCTTGATTATTAGAACCAATAGCATAGCTCAAGCTTTTGCTGACCTTAAAACACACCAAAAGTTTTATAAAATGTCAAAACAACAAATAGGGAAATAAAGTTATGTATTAATTCTAAAAATAAAGTCTTGATTCCAATATTTAAAGACTCATTTGTTTGTTTTCTGTAAGCAAAATTGTTGATAACGTTTTAGAAGGGTTCTTTTTTATTAATCCAATGGCTATTCTGGAGAAAGTATAGTGAGATTTTTTAAACATAAGATTTTCATTCATTTTAAAGTTTTTAAATGCTTTTCAATAGATTTGTATCTACGAAAATTCCTCTCAGAAGAATTATCCCTCACAGTAATTGTGAGGAAATGCAATATTTGGAACTGCATATTTTAGAATAAATTGCGAAAACTCAAAGTTCTCTTTCATCTTTCACAGGAGTAATAGAAATAAAACTTAGAAGTATTCCTCTTTCAATGAGGAATTCTTCCTCATATACATCACTGTGCTCATAATTTAACTAACATTCATATTTTTCATCAAAAAAAAAAAAATTGGTGGAACAAGGAACTGTTGAAATCATATTGAGACTTCTTTAAATATTCTGCCTAGTAGTTAAAAAAAAAAAAAAAAAAAAATCAACTCAATTTTGTATGGGAATTCAGCATTTTGTAATTCTGAACCTTTCTCGGGGATTGAATGGATAAGACTATGAACATTGGTAATCTGACGCAGAATCAAATCCCAAAGAACAGGCTGGCCACACGAGCGTTTTCATGATTTACCTTACATGTGTAATGAGAATACAAATTAGTGTCCCTTTTGTAACACGAATATTGAGCAAGTTCTCCCTTTTGACCCCTTAATGCGGAACTTTAGTCATTCACAAAGGCCTCTCCACAGGTGGACAACCATAGTAAGTATTATCGTAACACAAAAAATTCCATTCCTTTATTCTGCTTTAGATGATTATTATAATATGTTTCACATGAAAAATAATGTCTCAAAATGTGCTGCTCTGGAAGCACTGCTCCTTCTAGCTAAGCCATTGACTAGAACTCTTGGAAAACAAGAAAATACCTCTTATGATAAAATAAGCCAAAGAAAGTATAGCAGATTTAGTTAATGCTCACAAATAAGGGGGAAAAAATCAGTGCATTATAGCTTATAACAAATCCCTTATATTAATATTTTGAAACTTTTTTACTATAACATGTTAATTAAAGAGATGAATCAATTATCATGACCTAAAATAAACATCCCATCATACATTAAATTCATTAAAATAATAACAAAAGTTCCACACAATTAGTGACATGTTATTTAAAAGGCAGTATACTGATTCAAGAGCTGCCACTGACTCTCTAGATACAGTTCCAACGTACAATCTCATTGATTATTAACTACAGGCCTAATCTTTAGTTTCTATTTTGCAGTTTGAAAGCTGTTTTATGGATTGAACATTACATTTTATAAAAATAAAAATACTTTACTTTTGAATTGCATAATTTATTGAAATAAGACATTGTAAAAGAAAATAGAAAATTCTGTCAACTGCATTATGATAAAAATATATATCATCACGTGCAAAAATATTATGTACCTACTCCTCCCCAAAAGTGCCCAATAGCATTGGATTTTTTGATTTTCAGAATATTTTGGGTTATAACCATTCAAGATGTCTAAAGTCCTACTATACATACAAAATGAAACCTTAATAATTATATCCCTTAAAATACATTAAAAATATTTAATACATATTTAATTTTAACAACTATAAAGTACAAAAATACACTTTTCTTTCCTGTAAGCAAAAAGTATACAATTATTATACAGTACTTGTTTGCCATACTTAATAACAATTTTTGTAAAATAAAAATTATTAAAATATGGTAGGAAATTAATTTATTCAATTTTCTTTGTTTTCAGCCTAAATGGGCACTAGCTTAGAAAGGCTGTTAGTCTCAAAACGGCACTTTGTGCTGAATCACTAAAAGCGTAGCATCACTTTTCAAATTGTTGCCACCATACATTATCACCCTGTATTATAATAAAAGAAATTAAATATGAAGAATCTACATGATGTATGTTTCTTGTACTGTGAAAAAACAACAGTACCTACAGCCATCAAATTTTGAATAATATACTTCTCCAAACGAATATGAGCACCTGGAATTCCAAATTTGTATTATTGGCCATTTCATATTTTTTAAAGCTTTAACAATTTTTTTATTAACAGACTCAACCATTTCTAAGCAAGCAATGACAACACTAAATTGGGGGGGGGATTTATCTCCAGCATACTAGACTGTCTAACGAAGATTCTGAAGACATGCTGTTTTTTTATTATTTTTAGTCCAAAAAGACATTAGCACAAATGCTCACGAAATGCGTATGTAAATGGGGGATGGGGGAACCTTTGGGCATGATATAAAAATTTGAAGGCTTTTTTTTTTTTTTTTTAAACACTTTGCCAGCAAACGATGTAAATGTTTAAGGGGGGGGGAAATACCGCCTTCCGGGCATAATAATAAAATCTGAAAGCTTTCAGATTTTTTTTAAAACCATATGCAGCATATAATGTAAAAAATTTTTAAACTCACCTGCTAAATAAGCAACGCTTTCAGGGGTGACTTCAAATTTGTCCCTGAAATAAAAATGGAATATATATTAAAAATTAACAGATTAAAAAGGTTGTATGACATTCACTGGTTTATAATATTTCAGTCATAACAGCATGTTATATTAAAAAACTATTTAAAAACTTCTTAAATTTATGAATTTACAACTAAATAATTAATGAATGTTATTTGAATAAACATTAAAATATTATGAAACAAACTATTCTGACATAATAACTAGCACCTCTCACTAACATAAGATTCAGATTTTCTTTAATGACTGCTGGTTAAACTATTAATTTCTCAGAAGTTTTAAAAATATATCTTATTTTAAAACAAAATTATCCCATTACTACTTCCGTTCAATATGCTGCCAAAAAATTGATCAGTTACAGATAAAAAGTAAGCAATTTAGATGTGAAGCAAAAAGATGTGAAAGAAATGAAATTCAAAACTAGTAAAACCCAAAATTCCCTATAAATATGTAAAAAAATCTCGACCACTGTCTCCAAACCAGAAGAATTACTGTAAACTACAAATTCAAAATACAAAAAATATACAGAAAGAGGAATGCGATGAAATCTAATTCAACATTATCAAGAGGAGTAAGGTCAGATTTAACTGAATCTTTCCCTCCAAAGGACTACTGCACTTCTGTTCATCCAAAATTAGCTGATGAACCATCTTAAATTATTTAATTATAACAGTTCACCCGAAAATTCCGACTGCCTTCTCTACGCAGAGGAATTCCAAAAATGAAATAGAAATATACAAAAACAAGTCCATATATAAATTCAGTCTACAATAAAAAAGAAGAAGAAAAATAATCAGATACATTTTACTGAAATTAAAATGTAGTAATACAAAATAATTAACAGAGAACTTGATTTCAAAACTTAGCATTCAGCGAATAAAGACAAAAGACATACATTCAAAAATAGATGCCAATGCTGAAATCTCCAAAAAAGGTGAATTAAAAACAGGAAATTTTCAATTTTTTAGAATAGGAAAGCAACGTAAGGGGGGGAAAAGTAAGAAAAAGGGGTAAAAAAAAGTTAGAAAAGAATAAAGTCTTCACATTATGGGCTTGTCATGACGAATTAGAAATAGAGTAGGCCTCTCTACCAATAGCAGTGCAGTAAAAAAAAAAAAAACAAAAAAAAAAAAAAAAAATAGTGTGAAAGTAATACAAATATATTATAAATAACTTAAAAACCTTCTCTATTTAAGCTTCAGATAAAAGTTCATACTTTAAGAAATTTCATAGGCGTGTAACTACACTAGCTTTTTTTAGAAGACTGTTTATGAAGTAATTGGAATTTCATTTCCTTTATAAAATTTTAGTAAAAGTATCCTTGTTGTTATGTTTGGATTTCTGTGCATACTTTTTTAATTCTGATAATTTGGTTAAAAATGTATTTGCTAAAACTTTCTAGAGATGTTGGTGTTCTGATTTATAAGTTTAATTGTTAAAAAATTGAATTCTCTTTCTTTTATCAAATAGTCTTACTTCTTTCAAACGCTAAAGATCCAGTTAATCTACAATTGATTGGTTTTTATTTAAACAGTTGGGGTAGATGTTGCTAATTTCAATAAGATTATTATTGTTGAACTTAACAATATCATCAATATATTTCAATGTGTGTTCAAATTTAGTGTAGAAACTTATATTCTTTAGAATATAGAGGTTACATAAGAGAGTTAAATAAGAACTTCTCACTGGAATACCTTTTGTTTGTAGGTAAAGAATGTTTGCATGGTTGATAAAGCTATTGATAAGTGAGAAATAGAGATAATCTTTTCATTTTTGCATATCCAGGAAAAAATTTGGTAGCTCAAGAAGACATTCACAAATTTCATTAAGAGGGAGAGACGTGTATGAATTTCCAAAGTCACAGCAGTTGATATTGTAAATTTTTAGATTTTTAATTTTTTTCAATTTTTTGCAAATTGCTTTTAAGATTCTAACATTAGTTTTTATAAGCTTTATCAAAAACAAAATTACATATTTATTTAAGCAGATTTGTTAAAATATAATCAAAATTCTTTTTGTATTTATTTGTACTATTTGCAATAAATTTAAATTTGAGAGGATTTTTGTGAAATTTTGGAAATGCATATAAATTGGCAAATCTATTGTTTGCATTTTTTGGGGAAAAGCATACATTTTGTTACTACAGACCTTTCTTTATTTTTTGAAATACAATATAGTATTGAATTAGCAGCCCTTTTCAATAACAGAATTGCTAAATTTTTTTCTTAAAATACAATTTTTTCATGCTTTTTTTAAATATTGGTAAATTGCTATTTTAATTGCAAAAATCTCTGAAGAAAATTTTAATCTGATTAATTAATAAGGGTTTTCAGTTATAGATACTCTGTTTTGGAATATACTTCTTAGTAGTTGGCCATGACAAAATTTGTCAAACAGGAAAAATACATTTGTAATTTATTGCAAAATATTTTCAATAATTAATGTCCTATATATAACTACAATGCCCAATATTTAAACCTTTGGCAGCTTTGCAATTTAATAGAAAGTAAAAAGTATTGTGCTATATTAAAAGTATTGTACTTTATTCTTAATTAATAAAAATTTCAGCTAACAGGAAAAAAAGTTTTATAATATAATATTATACAAAACAATTTTTTTAAACAAAATATAAACATGCCTAGTATTTTCCTGCTTTAAGCTGCTTAAAATTATCATTAAAGACATAAAGTAAGAAATTTAATATTTCACAAAGACCAAAAATTTTTGAAATTCATAATTAATAAATTTCAAATAATCTTATACATGCAACAACAAATTTAATAAATGTAAAAAACCAAAAAGTTTTTTTAAACAACCAATACCCAAATTCAAAAATATTTTAATTAAATTTTAAGAAAAAAGAGCATAAAAGAAAAGGAATTTAATTAACTTCAATGCCAATGCATCAGGGATAAGGAACATTGAAATCAATTGAAATCTCTTTTCTACAGAAATCCTTTCTTTTCTGTATCCAGAATTAGCTGATGAACTATTTCAATGTATTTTAATTATAATAGTCCACCAAAAATTCTGGCCATTCCCCAAAGAAAAAAAAAAAACAAAGTAAATTCTAATTAGATTCTTGTACCTTAAATAAAGAGTAAAAATTAAAATACTTCAGGGAAAAATATAAATCAAAATTTTACCTTTAAACATATATTATATAATCCAAAGAATCTAAACTTTAGAGAAATTATAAAACTTAATTAAAACTCATAATAAGTAATTAAAAACCTTGAGCACTTTCATTAGATATCAATCGAAGCTAGGAATAGAATATCACGCCTGTAGTGACTTTCAGGCTTGCCATTGGCGAAAGTAAAAAACCTTGGCGAGAAAGTAAACGCTGAAAAGGCTAAAATTTGGAACAAAAGATGGAATTTTGAAACCAAAAGAAAAACTTTGAAATACTTCAATGAAAATTTTTTAATTTTGACAAAGAAAAAGATTAGTATATTAATTGAAAGAAATTAAAGTAAGTTCTGACTCTTTTAAAACAAAAATGGGAATAAAGAACATCATTCAGTTTAAAACTTTAATTAAATTTTAGAATCAATTACTCTTTAAAAATATCAGACTCAAAAAGGTGTTTAAAAAGTGGACAAAAAGTTTTTAATAATTGTTCTGTAGATTTGAGTAGAAAAATCCATAAAGTTAAATTTTAATATTGTAATTTAAAATTACAGGAAAAGGTACAAAAAGGAAGTAAAGGAACTACTGTTAGAAAAGTAAAAAGTCTTTACATCATGAGGTTATCATGACGACATTGAAAATACATAAGACCCTTGTTTAGTAACAGAATAGTAATTAAAAGAAAAAATAGAAACCTATAAACCCTTTAAAACATCCTTCTTTATCCCTCTTTTATGGAGCTTTCACATAAAAATTTCATACTTTTAAAAAGTATTATAGACAAAAATTTTAACTTTTGTTTTAAAATTGTGTAAAAGAAAACAAACATGTTTAAAAAAGAAATTTATTTTGAAACTTCAAAAAATCTTACAAGAACAAAATAAAAAATTTCTTAATTACTTTAACCTAAATTGTCACCTAAATAACCTAAATTGTCAATCTTTATCTGTTCATTTAAAAATGAAATCCATTCTTCTTGTTTTAATTTGTGCAAAAAAATCAATAATTTTCTATTTGATATCTGGATGACAACTGAAAAAAATTTTCTCTATTGAAAGCACTGCAAGCGCATTTAGTCTTTCCAAATTAATAGTGCTTCTTAGAAAAATTTTCATTCTTTTCAATGTTGAAGAGCAGCGTTCTGCCTCTGATGCAGTCATGGGAACTGTCAAGAGAGTTTTTATCAGTTTCGTAATTTCACTAAGAACATCATATAGATCAGGCGTTCTCAACCGGTTGTACGCGTACCACTGGTGGTATGCAAGAGAAAAATAGGTGGTACATAAAGAAGCAAAGTATTTTTAACTATTTAATTCAAAAATTAAAACCCCAACATCCTGATTAAGTTTCCTTTCTAACACTCGTAAATTTATGCGATCCGAGCTTTGTTCGAGGTCAATAGCTGCCTACGGACTTTAACAAGAGGCGAATGATCTGTCTGCATGGCAGTTATCATGGCTCTTCCATCTTGTACGCTTCACTTAAATATTCTTTTAGCCTAGGACATAACAAAATTTGCCATAAATGATGTTTTTAAAAAGAAGTTAAAATACCACATAGTGATAGAAATGGATGCTGTATTTAACAGGAAATAAGAATAAGTTCCTATAAAAAAGATAATAGTATCTCGTTAATTCTCTTAGAGTTTACCGATTTATTAGCATGTCAGTACTTTATGTCACCATTTCCAGGTCCATGTTGCTCCACTTTCAATGAGAAAAATTTTTTACATCTGTTTGCTGTTTCTAACAGCAGGTATTTTGTCTTCTTGTTGCTTTGTATTCCCTACTTTTCTACACGATTTGAGAATATCGTATCGTTGTCCGTTTCTGAAGAACTCGCAATATATTGTGCATTTAAATATTTGTGAAAAAATAATAAAACAAACCTAGATTTTCAAAATGGAAAAATGTCTAATAGTGACAAAGCGGAAAAGTGATGATTCCCAAGTCATGGATGCAGGACAATCTACTAGCACTAAGAATACACAGAAGAAAAATTGTTTATAGAAAATATAATGAAAGTTATTTATCATTTGAGTTTACTTAGAATAGAGATGAACGGACTCTCAACCTGAATGTGTGACGTGAACTGTTATCGAGTCAAAGTATGAAACTATCGTTTCTAAAAAGACATCTCGATTCATTCTAATTTAAAAGATAAATCTGTAGAATATTTTAAGAGGAAATTTTGGGAGTTCAAAAATAGACAAGTAATAAAAGGTTTTGTTACTTCAAGTGAAAAAGCTTTGGAAGCTAGTTATGTGGTAAGCCTAATAATTGATAAGACTGGGTAGGCCCATACTATTAAAGAACACCTTTCATTACCAGATAAAGATATCGTTTTAACATTATACAACGAAAAAGCGACTAATGAACTTAATAATATTTCATTATCAAATGATACAGTAAGTCGACGAATTCATGAAATGGCAAATTTCATAGAAGAGACACTTACTCAAAAAATAAAACACAGTGAGTATTTCGCATAATGAACTTTGTTCAATTCAGATTTTCTTTCTTTCTTTCTAGCTCAAAGGGCATTAGCCCAGAACATCTTAACTTCATCTTGGCATTTTGCGTTGAAAACTTAAATGACCTTTTCACTTTTCAAATTGTTGCCACCAAATATTATCACCCTGTGTTGTATTTAAAGTAACTAAATAGTGAACAAACTGCATAAATGTATGTATGTTTCTTGCACTGTGATAAAACAATGGTATCTATCAAATTTTGAATAACGTAGTCCTCCATAAGAATATGGGCACCTGGAAGCCCTAATTTGGAATTTGTTTTATTATCGATTTCATATTTTATAACCCTTTAACGTTTTTTTTTAATTAAGAAACTCAGCAATTTCAGAGCGAGAAATGGCAACATTGTATGGAAAAAAAAATTAATTTCATCGTGCAAGAATGCGTATCAGAAATTCTAAAGATATGCTTTTTTAAATATTTTGTGATATTGCTGTTGAATTAAATTTTATGGTTTAAGTGAGAAGAACATGATATTTAACAAATAAAGGTAACACACAAAACCGCTGATCTAGATTATTTTCCAAGATAAATTTCAGTAGCTCTATTAATTTGCAGTACCTCTGAATATCAGACCTACACAGAATACTTCAGTTTCAAGTTTTTCTTTGACAATCATTGGATATGCTTCAGTGGTCAGTACTATTTCTTCTGTAGGATGTTCATTCCTAAACCTAGCGAAGCATTTCTTGTTGAACAATTTAGCAGCTGCTACGTGTTTAGTGGAAGAATATCTGCCTATTATATCAATATATATGAAGTCACATATTTCCTTAGCTTCTGCCATCAGTGTCTTTGAAGAATTCTCACAGTACTTTGAGTTTCTTAATTCTAAAATAGCAGTTTTGAAATTTGATATACATATTAATTAACTTTAAACACACTAATTACTCTGGATTGCATTTGGTTGTATATTATTTTAACAAGAGGCATAAATCTAATAAAAAAGCTCTAACCAAAACTTGAAATTATCATCATTTAGGTATTTTAAAATTCCTGTTGCTTCTGCAATAGTTTGATTTGTATTTAATGGTGACTGAATTTCAGTAAGATAATTTTTTAAAGGTTGTAAATTTTCATGAACTCTGTTATGGTTCGTATGTTGAAGTTCCACCTTGTGGAGGAAGGATGTGGAATGCTAATGTCCATATGCTTCTTTAGAATGGACATATGTTGCGGTGATCTTGAGAAAAATGTTGGAATAGTCAGAATGTTAGAAAAAAATATTTTCACATTTCGGGAAATATTTGCTGCATTTTTCATTATTAAATTAAGTTGATGTGCATAACAGTGAATGAAATGTGCATTAGTATAAACTGCTTTTATTTTTGCTTGAACTCCTGCTTTTTTTGCCTTACATGACATTTGCACCATCAAATGTCTGAGCTATCAATTTTTGTTGATTTCCTTGAAGGATTATGTCCAATTGTTCTAAAATACATTTTGATATGCCATCTGCAGTTTGGTTATCAGTAATAAAGAATCCCCTGAAACGCTCAAATATTTCTCCATTCAATACATACCATAGAATAGAACAGAGACCATTTGAGTGTGTTCCGAAACATCTGTTGTGTCATCAGCCTTTAAAACTACAGAAATTTTTCTAATTTCCGTCTTTATCTTCCCATGGTAGATTTGAAATAGCCAGTCAAGCATCTCATTTTGAATGGTATCAGAAACACATTTGAGGACTGCACTAGTTTCTAAGAGATTCTTCAAATCTGAATCTAATTTAGATTCAAAATTTACTGGTATTCTAAATACGCCTGGATTTACTGAATTGTCTTTTTCATCATGTCCATGTAAGGGAGTTTCAAAATTTTCACAAAAGAAAATGCAGTTTATTATTTTGCACAAAATTTCAGGGTTCTTTTTAACCTTTATGTTATGCTCATTGACTGAAATTCTGTATCCCTCACTAAGTTACTCCTTAATATTAATGGTTCCTAAAACTGACAGTGAAACTACATTATTAATGTGCTTCTTTGACTCCTCATGCTTTTCAGTTTATTCTTTCATTTTCTGAAACCATCTTTTGTCCACGTTACATCACCTCCAAACATAAAGCAAAACAGAGCATTTTTTTATCTCACAACCGCAAAGCCAACTTTTCTGTTGGTACTGTAGTTCAGGAGGAGTGGCACTGCAGTCACTCTTCCACACTCTCCTTCCCTAATTTTTGAAATACTTATGTTCGACTCTTTGCTCAGAAACTCCAGTATCCCACCCTTTATATTAGAAATAAGAACAAATTATAACCCATGAACCCATTCAAAAGATAATTATATTTGTCAGTGAATCACCAAAAATATCCCTCCAAAATGTTAATTCCCACTCAAAACAGCAGGCGTAAAAACAAGACAAATTTCAGATGATCAAAATTAAGAATGTTCTGATGATTTTGGACAAAATTAAGGACTTTTAAGGACCAGAAACTGATTCCAAAACACCTAAGGACTTTTAAGGAGTCTTAAGGACTGTATGAACCCTGCTTATAGGCTTTCACTGCATGTATGTAATGTGTAATTTTCATTGCTCATAAAATATTGAATAAAATTTAATTTTATATCTTTAAAATTTTGCATTATGATCAATCCTTAATAAAGTACATACATGCATGATTTTCCTCCATACAAATTTCAATGCATTTATTTTAGAGAGATGTAGAGAAGAATTAATTAGTACAGAAGGCATATATACACAATTAAAACCTACACTGGAATAAAAATTTTACGAATGCAAAATAGTTTAATCTGTGAAAGATCCCTATAAAATAATATTATTTTAGATCATAATTTACCTTTTATGGGGTTTAGCTACAATCCCTAACAAAGTGTTTAAAACTCTAGTTGTCCTAGAAACTGTAGTTGGAGTAGGATGTCGGAAACCTAGAATAAAAAGCTATAATATGACATATTTAAAAATTTCAACATATGTTAAAAAAATTATATTTCACATTGCTAGCTATCTAAAATGCAACACCATGAAAGAAATAAGGCTTGAAATAGCACCATGCATAGCTGTGTAAATTTGCATTGCAGTGCATGTGTAAATCATATGCAGTAGTAAAGTCATTTAGATGCACTGTGAAAAAGAAAAACAGCAGGCATTTTCAGCACTGGAGCTGAGTGTTGTCTCAATGCTTCTTTGTGTCAGAATCTTTAGTATGCACTATAAAAAAATGGCAGTTATTTGAGCTAGATCTAGAGTTTGACGGAGAAAAAACTGAGATTTATAAATACTGAGGATTATCTTTTCGATAAATCAGTGCTCATATTAGATGAAATCAAGCCACACTGATACAAATATTGAATTGGTGAATGCAAAAAGGATAGGCAGAGCAACAAAAGTGATAGCATCAGCTTCATTACATCATCAAATGATAGGACAGGTATGCTGTGCATATGACAAAGACATATCACATAGTAATATTAAGAACCCTAATGTAAGGATTTAAGGTCTGCTGTATAACAAACTATGTCAGTATGTACACTACGAAAAAAAACTGGGACAGATCTCTATTTCCAGTTCTACTGAGTTGATTAACGAAATTCAACTTGCGTTCTTCCCATCTCGAAAGTGCGACTTAAGATATGTATTAGATTTATATATAGCGTTGGTCCAATATAGGTATTTTAACACAAAAATCAGACTTTTTTGGAAATAACATGCCAGTTTTCTTCAATAAAGTACAAAGTCCGAAATCCGGACTCGTTGGGACTTCAACGATTCTGGGTTTTTCCGGATATTAGGTCATCAGTTTAAATCTAGTAAGAAAGCATGCAGAAATTATACAATTAAAAATATGATACCTTGATTTATGAAATATGATCTAAACAGTATTAAAATTTACAAAAAGGAAAGCTTAATATTTATTTGTTTACCTTATTAAACATTTCTTTCAATGTAAGTTGTTTAAGTTGCTTCGTTTTTGGTGCTTATGCTTTCTCTTTAATTCTGTAGACAGACATAATCTCTTGTTCAGTTACGTTATTGAAGTCCTGTAACTGCTCTTTGGAAAATTCCGACTAACTTGTCAATCGAAATTTTCTCGTTTTCAGTAACTTCTCTGTCACTTTTTTGTCTTCTATCAGTAGTGGTATTTTCTGAATCTAGAACCATACTACAGATCGCGATATTCATTACTTTGACTGATGATTGAAAAGCATTGTCATCACAGTGAAAAACTTCTTTTACATTTATTATTTATCTTTATTTATTACCGCTTTTCCACACTTCTTTTCAAAACCTGTGAACTGAAAATTTCACCTTTGTTTTGCAATATCCGAAAACTGTCAAAATTTGCGGTTATCATCATCAAATTTAGCTATCCTTCACTATATATATTTGGCTATGAATCGTGAGCTAGGCAACTAACGACAAGTTCTAATTTAGAAGTCAAACAACAAAAATCAGTGCTATATTTTCAAATTTTCACAGGACTAGTTTCTATGGTTTTACCAAACCATCATCATCAGCTGCAAAAGCGCAAATGAACAAAATAAGATATAGTGATTAGATAGGAAAGACTGGACATGTGTCAAGCTACTGGCGCCATCTGTTGATGAAACCAGAACTAAAACATAATTTCTTTAAAGGCAAAGATGGATTGGAATTAGGGTTGTTAACTAGAACAAAAAGTTTTTTTTTTTCTTAGTTTGACCAATGTAAATTAAACCACACTGGCAAAGAATCCTGTAAACACCCCAGGAATTCCAATCCGGAGTGGGGTCCTTGAGTATGGAACTCGGAATTTGATTGATGAGAACAACCGACCCAAAAATTAAATTTCTGTACAATACGTGCAACTTTATAGCTAATTGATGGAAAGAAGGGAATGACAACAGAATTTTTATAATCTCCTAAAACAAGAGTGTGCCTTTTGGTGTGTTGAGATAAGAATTTTTTACCTGTTAAAAAGCAGTAACACAGTTTCTCCCCCTTCTCTTCTTTGATTTTGAAGTAATTTATCATAAAGTAATACAGTCAAAAGTCATTAATTTGGACACCAATAATCCGGAATGATCTATAATCCAGATCCTCAAAGCTACAAACTTTCTGCGCATGCGTCTCTTTGACGCATGCGCGTAAGACCTTTACGGCTGCGAATTTGCGTGCGTGCGTGTGCAAAATACGTTTACAAATGCGCATTTAATGTATAACGGATGGTATAAGCTAAGCTAAAATTATCTAATTATCTATTTCAGTTATTGTTGCAGATTGCGTTGTTCCTTAATCTTCGAATTGGATCTGGCTTATTATTTTTTGCAGACTGTTAGAGCAATTTTATAAAAGTAAGCTTGAACTTTCGATTATGTCGAATAGAATTTCCGATATATATTTACTAATATGTAAAGGATCTACAAAGCGAAAGTATGTTTCGGAGTCCATTAAAAAAAAAGTGTAATTGCTGCAAAAAATAGATAAAGGCATATCCTTTGTTTATCTTTAACGCCGCAGCGCGCAATGAATTGGAAGTTGATCTATCAGCACTATCCTTATCTTCAGGGCAGATGTTTTTATTTTATTTGGCTTATAATTGCTTGCTGAATGTATTATTTCATCTCGATATACTCCGTCTTTGATATGATTTAAATCAAACACCTCGTCATTATAATTCGCTTCCGATAGCGAAGAAAGTGACAGAGGTTATTGAAAACGAAAAAATTTCGATTGACAAATTAGTCGGTATTCTCGACACATCAATTATAGGACTTGAACAGCGGAACTTTGTAACTGAAAAAGAAATTATGTCTGTTTACAGAATTAAAGAGAATGTATTATCACATAAAAATGAAGCAACTTAACTTACATTGAAAGAAATGTTTAATAAAGTAAACAAATAAATATTTTTTTTGTAAATTTTGATAACTTTAGATCATAATTGTTCTTATTGTAATAGTTAATTTTATTTAAATTTCTCCTTTCCGATTAACTTTCTCTTATATCCGAATGCGAAGCCCGAGATCGATAACACTTTGATTAATCTTAAAAGAAAGTGTCATTCAATAATATAATTTATTTTTACTGATATTTTTATATTTCTTATCTGGGTTTTCTTTTGGTGTTAGAAGGAGGAAAAGACTGTAATGTTTTAATTAAGGAAATAATTAAAACATTACAGTCTTTTAAATAACACAGTTACAGTAATGTTTATTGAAGCAATCAGTACTGTGTGATTGCCAGTGATTGAATAATGTTAAAATGCATTGTTCATAAGGAAATTTGCTTATCTTTGTGTTATAGATTTTATTTTGACACAAGCTGAAATTTGAAGCACTTTGAAAACCCGAATTATTTCCTGAATCATTAATCAGGCCAATATTATAACATACAAATTTTCATATACAAAATTATTTCTTTGAGCATATTATAAAGAGCTCATTTAATTTTATTATTTGTACAAATTTTAGACAAAAGTAGCATGTAACAGTTAAAGATTTATTGAAGCCTACTTGTTACTTGTGGTAACAAAGAAGTGTGAAAGATATTGCCACATTAGCGAACATGACGATCATTGATGCTTAGTTTAGTAATTTAATAATATATTGAGAAATGCTGGGAACTTTCAGAAGTAGACATTTCGGAAATGATGGGCTTGATAAGAAATTTACATGGTTTTTATTATTATTTATTCTTTAGTTAAGAATGGATTTTTAGATGTTCATGTGAAAGAATTCTGTTTAATTAATGTAAAATTGTTAAAGTTTGGCATTTAAAAAATGAATTAATAATATGCAATTATCTTTTTATTATACATATATTACTATATATTTCTAATGCGCTATGTAAATGTCAGTGCTAAACAATTGAGATACTATTGTCAGGGCAATCTTTTCTTATACATGAAAAATTCTGATACTTTCTTATCATCTGCCCTCCCTCACAGCTTCAACTTATGCTAAAACAGCAAGAGTATGCACACGATAATAGCAAACTATGAATATGCATACCACACACATGTATTTACATGCTTTATATTTAATCTTTATTTCTGAATAGTATTCCATTGGATGAAAAATATGTGATATTGACCCCTATAATCAAATCGTAATTGGACACAAATCCGATATCTAAATCAATCAAGCAAAAATTTGCTGCGTTCACATTATGATGCGCGTAGCCTTTTTATACAGTGCACTGCGAATATGTTTACCAGTGCGTATGATACGGAGGTTAAGTAAATATCTTTTATGTCGGTTAATGTTGCAGATTGCGTTGTTCCTTAATCTTCGAATTGGATCCGGCTTATTATTTTTTGCAGACTGTTGTTAGAGCAATTTTATAAAAGTAAGCTTGAACTTCCGATATGTCAAATAGAATTTCCGATTTATATTTACTAATACGTAAAGGATCTACAAAGCGAAAGTATTTTTCGAAATCCATTAAACAGAAAGTTGAATTGCTGCAAAAAATGAATAAAGGCATATATCCTCTGATTATCTAATCATTTCGAAATATGTTTATCAATTTCACACTGCTTTGCGGGGGGAGAGAAACGACACGGCGCTCAATGAATTGGAGGTTGATCTGTCAGCACTATCCTTATCTTCAGAGCAGATGTTTTTATTTTATTTGGCTTATAATTCTTTACTAAATGTAGTATTTCATCTCGATGTATTCTGTCTTTGATATGATTTAAATCAAGTTCCTTGTCATTATAATTCGCTTCCGATAGTGAAGAAAGTGACTCAGAGGTTATTGAAAACGAAAAAATTTTGATTGACAAATTAGTCGGTACTCTCGACACAGCAATTATAGGACTTGAACAGCGGAACTTTGTAACTAAGCAAGAAATTATGTCTGTTTAATAGAATTAAAGCGAAAGTATTATCACATGAAATGGAGCAAATTAAACAACTTACATTGAAAGAAATGCTTAATAAAG